CCACCGGTCGGAGCCATCGTTACGACCCCCGATCATGATCCCGATCAGGCAATCCCGTCACAAAGTGAAAACAATACCCTCGTAGCCAACATTAATAGAGAGAGAGCGGAAAATGATTTCATACTCGAGTTGCGGAACACATTAGAGCAGTCTTTAGGCTGGGTCCATTATCATTGGTAGCTGAACACTGCGCAGATCTCTGACACATACTTGCATTGTGTAATGCGGTATATCTAGATCGAGAAAATGACCGCATAGTCAGGAAAACAACTCAGGCCTGGCAAACGGGGACAACCTATCTCGAGAGTTGTGTGGCGTTTCCCACGGTCTATAAAGACTTCCAAAAGCAGTTCAGTGGATAATAGGAGTAGACGGGAACATAGGCCAACTGTGAATACAAACATAGTATTGTCCAATAAAAGCGAACATGCGAGTCTCAGGAGGCACCTGAGAAATAGAAGAAGCGATCGTTGGGAATATAACTTTATTCACCTGACGTTTCGAAGTCTGTCGCGGATTCTTCATCAGGGACATTTGCATAAGCAGAAGCAAAAAAGGGATGGTTAATACAGGGAAGTTGCAGTATATAAAGGAGGCAGTTACTATGATACTGCATATCATTGACTAATAACGACTCCCCTATCGAGGTTAATTATCCGACTGTGCGCTAATGGATTAATAATGGACCTGCGGGCCGTGAACTGTTGAACTTTTATCACATGTGATGGAATTTGACGTGCTGCTTGCTGATCTATCAGGTTTCCTGGCGTTTGCGTTGGATGAGGCGTTGATCTATGCGTTTCCCGAGTGGCGCATTGCTTTCAGCTGCGAATTACTTGAATCGTGGTTTACTAGCCGCCAGTTTGAAGACAAGTACAGCGACCTGTTGATGCTCATTTTGACCAAATCAAGTCGCCACTTAAGGAACACACAGGCCAACTCGTCATCTGAGGCAACCGCCGGGGAACCGCATGGCCGAGCAATCATCACGTCCAATTCCACCAGGTGTGGTGAAATATCAGCAGCTCACGGTCCGCACGTGGACAATTGCCCCCGATAGGGGAGCTTTAATTGCCGTAAGTGTGCAGCATCTTAGTGACTGTAGCCTCTAAATACAGTAACCCCCTATGCATTACTGATCCGTTCCGCTACTGTTTATGCTTATGTCTCTAAGGAAGAAGTCGCGACGGATTTCGACACGTCTTGACCCAGCGATCGCAGTTTCTTCTCAAGAGTCAAGTCTATGGAGCATTCACGCGTATTTGCACCACAATTCGGACCCAACGAAAGAGCAGTTATTACTTCGGCCAGTTCATTGACTAATCCGGCAGGTTAGAAGACAGCTGGATGGAAGAACGTCCGGAAATATATTACAGAAGCAAGTAGGGCACACTTGGAAGAATTGCACAGGCTGTGGCTCATACGCAGGGATTCTGGGTCGAGGAAATGACCGCTTAGCCAAGAAAACACTTGAGGACTTACACATGTTGAGAAGCGCTTCCCCGGCTATCAGGCCTTTCGAACTCACAGCCTAATGATCAAATATTGCAAACGGGAACATAGGCCAAATGTGAGTGCAAACCCGTGCAAGCCCATTTCG